TATTAAGAGCAGCCCAGCTCCAGATCGGTCAGAGAGAACATCATGGTGGAGGGTTCTTGAGAAAATGAGAAAACCAATCAGGGCATCCGCTCGACAAATGATACGGCTGGTAAAAAGGCCTTTCATAGCTATAAAAAAGCCCCTCATAGATTAGATGGTCAAGTCAAAATTATAATTTTGGAACAACAAGAAAAGGCAGCGAATACTGAACAATCATTTTGCTTCCCCCTTATACTCATTGTCAGAACGATTGAAGAGGACACCCATTTGATCGAAAATTCATTGCAATGACTACAATTTTGTGACTGTCTTTATGTTCTCTAACTTCCTTTTCAGCCATGCGTAACTCCCTCGACGTCATCGTGCGGCTCCAGCTACGGGGTAAGATTATCAATGCCTTCACTCCTAAGAAATCCATATGCTTGAGTTTGGGATAGTGTTTCAGCAAAAAAAAACTTGTTAGACGTTCTGAGAACAATTGAGCCAAAACAGGGAAATCTGTGCCTCAAAGAAGCTGATTAGAAGCTTTTTCGAGTTGATTGCTATGTTTCGAGTATTCTGTATAGCCTTCGGCCTCAGGCAGTTCCTTCGACTCCTCCATGTTGAAGCAGCTATGAAAGCTCACGAAATTTTGTCATTTTCTGAAATCTCTTCTTTTCTGGGTGTCTGAAGCTCTCAGAACATTTCAGGTCTATCGTGCTCCAGTAATGAATTACGGTGCCCCTTCATACCCCCAGACGCCATTAGTGGTCTATCCTACACCACTTCAATACGCACCACAACAACCGGTACCACCAATTATTCGTCCACTACCANGTCTGAAGCTCTCAGAACATTTCAGGTCTATCGTGCTCCAGTAATGAATTACGGTGCCCCCTCATTTCCACAGATGCCATCAGTGGTCTATCCTCCACCACTTCAATACGCATCACAACAACCAGTACTACCAATTATTCGTCCACTACCACCTCCACCGCCGCTGCTTCGACCTCCTCCACCGCCTCCACCGCATCATCCTATTACCTATGTGGCTCAGCCCAACATAAACCAAGCCTATGGAGACTACGTTGGACCTGCACTACCTCCTCAATCGCCTCCGCCACCAGTCTACATCACTCCCGCTCCAGTCTATGTCACAACGCCATCACC